AGTGGGGCTGTGTGCTGATGACTGGGGGACAGGCTTTTAGGGTATACCCTTTGGTTGATGATGCATGGAGGGGATTGTAACCAAGGCAATGAAAAGATTTACGATAGGATGAACTAAAACTAATGTTCTCCCATGTAAACTACCACATAGTTCACAATAAAACATTAAAAAAAAAAAAAGATCCAGGGAGAGATCTCCGGACTCGGGATTTCTCATTGTGCTCGCAGAACACTAGTGAAGGGAACTGCCAGCTGGACCAGGGTTCACGTCTCAGTCCAACTGGAAGGCAGCAACTCTCAGAGACTCTCTTTCCACAATACCACCGGACATCTGCCCAGAGTACCCTGAGTGCCATATGAATGCCACTGTCAGGCTCACCAGTGATGGTTTGGATGTGGGTGCAAGTTGTCAATTCTCCTACGGGCAAGCACTGTGAACTCTGCTCTCTGCCTTGACATACAAGAAGAATGGTTCATCATCCCTATGGAGAATGAGGGGATTGCTCAATTCCCCAAGCATCCTTGTTTTGGTACAGAGCCAAGTACATCTTACAATCCCATGTGAAAGAGAGCCACCTGCACCTGTGGCGTACTAGTTGCGCAAGCATGGCAGTCACTTTTGCTAAGAGCCTGTACTGAATATTTACCCCATTCTACCCAAGCGTTTCTATCTCTGATGTTTATCCTAAGTCTTTTACCTCAATCACGTCTACTCTTTTAGGGTCATTTTCAGCCCACAGGGTCCCTTCCAGAGATGTGGGCACCCATTCCATAGACCCGGATTGCTACTCTTGGCTCCTGATCGCTGACAGTGTGTACATTAGTTGAGATAAGTTCTTGGCTCTCCAAGATCCCTCAGGGTAAAACTTGGCAAACATCTAATTTGATGATTTGAGGGAATAATTCCATGGTTACATTTGCTATCAACCTGACCGGCAAGTTGTAGGCAAAAGCCCTTTGCACCTCCCGCATGGTAATGAAGCATTTTAGCCATTATTAGCTTCCAAACCCACCCCATCTGGCAGAGGTATGGCAAGGCAGCCTCTCAGACTCTTTTTAGGGTCACTTTAAGAGGTTCTTGGGGTGAGGAATGTGCTTCCCACCAGTAATAACCAGTCTTCCCTTGAAAAGAGTTTCTCTCCTCGAGTCCCTTTGCTTGAGTATAGTGAGTCCATCCCTGCTCCGTAGTCTGGACGGCTGTCTCAGTGGTCAACCGCATCTGCTAAGGGCCCTCCTAGTCTGGCTGAGTCTGTCTGTCCTCTTTCTAGGTCTCGATTAGCACCATGTTTCCAGGTCGGAAGTGACGAACGGTGGATCTGAAGGGAGGTGTTTGGACCAAGAGTCCTTTTAACCTTAGGGTTAGCAAAGCAGAAAGGGCCAGAACATGGTTTCTTAGGAAATGATCTCTAGTTTCTGTAGTGGGTAGGTCTGTGGTCCTTCCCAGGGAGGGAAGCCTATTTACAGAGGCATGGAGCCTTTCGGCTTCAAAAATTCCCAAAGGATCAGCAGGTATTCATGGATAACACATTCTCACAACCGTATTTACTACACTCCGTCCATTTCCTCAAACTAAAAGAAACATTACTGGCTCTATTATCTTCATGCATCAATACAACACTTCACTTAAAAGTTTCTCAACAGTAATGTCAATTAAACATACTTTAACATTGTAACCTTGTCAAATGAGCTGAAACTCTTATCAACACTCACAGCTACAGCACAACATCCCTTCCCTCCTCTAAACAAGATGAAATGCATACATAAAGGGTGGCCCAAATTTTAACAAAAAATTGTTTTATACCAAATATCTTTTAAAACAGTACCATGTTCTCAGAAGAGCTGAAACATTACTACCAAAAAAAAAAAAAAAAAAAGCCCCCACACATATAGTTTTGACCAAGGTACAATTTTTAAAATTACTATCACACCAGCCAAACAAATCCTTAACCACCTTTTAAATGGATTAATTTATACCATTTTACTGCAGAAAGAATACCAAAGATATTAAAACAAAACAACTTTTCAATGCCCTACTCACATTTAAGTTCCAGCTCAAATGCGCAAACTCAGAATTTTGCATTATACACTCCAATAGTCTATGTCTACATTTATCTTAAGAATATTTTAAAACTACCACACCCAAAAATAATAATAATCACTAGGCCCTTTATTACTGGCTGCAGGTGCCTTCCACCTCTTCTATGGGGATAAGGAATTGTCGTCTGTGAACCATCAACCCTGGTTTGTTTTTTAGTTCAACCCACAAGGGTGGAATTTCCAGGTCCTTCCTGTTGCCTTTTATAAACTATACCCACGGGTCAATTTTTCCTTCCTCCTTTTCAGTCAGAAGTCTCATATTTACCTTCATATACCTCTACTCCTCTCTAATCCTAACCCCAATCTTACAATTAGATCCTGTCCCAAAAGATTCACTGCCACCTCTGAGACCCGGCAGGTCAAGGAGGATAGGGCAGCCCCAATGTCCATTAGGAATGTCATTTCATCCTCTTTGGGTCCCACCTTCAGATTTATCAAGGGTTCCTGGTGGGGCCCAGTCATAAGGAACTCCTGAGCCCCCCAACCCATATCAAAAGTCAGGAGGGGAATCACCTTTATCACTGTCCCACTTCCTGCGAAAACACAGGAAACAAATTAGTGGTTGCCTGGGGTGGAATCAGGAGGGAATGAAAGGAGCAGGAGGACATTTTAAAGGAGATGGATATGTTAATTACCATGATTCTATTGATGGTTTCTCCTCTGAAGTAAACACATGTCAAATTCAGCAAATTGCACACATCAAATATGAACAATTTAAAAATCAATTATCCATCAACATAGCTAGGAGTGGGGTGGGGTAAAAGGAGAGTATCCTTAGAAGCCAGATAGCAAGTTTCAATGAAAGAGCAAAGAACTTAAAGTCTTTTAAGAAGATACAAGTATGGAGGTAACAACTAGAACAAAAACAAAAGCAAAGAGATTTAAACAAAAGAAATTTACACACAACTAAGCATCTCTCATACTTTGGACATATTGTTAAGAGGGACCAGTCGCTGGAGAAGGTCATCATGTTTGGTAAGGTGGAGGGTCAGAAAAAAAGAAGAAGACCCCCAATGAGATGGAATGGCCAAGTGACAGCATCGATGGACTCAAGCATGGCAACAGTAGTGAGGTTGGCCCAGGATCGGGCAGTGTTTTGTTCTGCTGTGCATAAAGTCGCTATGAGTCTGTACCAAGTCGATGGCACCTAACAACAGCAAGCAACTTTTGGAGTCCTGGGTTAGCACTGCATGATAAGCACTGCACTGACTCGTTGTTGAAGTGCAACAGTTGTTCCTCGGAAATCCTATATAGGGAGAGCCTCAAGGTCAGCAGTTTGAAACTATCAGCTGTTCTGTAGGAGAAAAATGATGCTTTCTGCTCCCGTAAAGAGTTACAGCCTCAGAAACCATATGAGTCAGAACCAACTCCACGGCACATAACCACCACAACCATAAATCACAACCAACTCGACTGTACCAACAATAATCAACGTTTAAAACTAGCAACATAATAGCAGTTAATGATGCAGAACAGCAGTTCTCAAACTGAGAACTGGGGGACCTGAGAGGTTCCAAAACGATTTTTATCATCATAGGAATATATGACTTGCCTTTTTAATTCTAATTTTCTCATGAATGTACAGTAGATTTCCAGAGGATACATATAGGACTTCAAAAAGTTCATGGGAAAATTCAATTATCTTTTAATGCCATTTTCCACAAACTTTTGAAGCCCCACTGGTAAAAGCAGCTATGAGGCTCCAACTTTTTTTTAATGAGTCAAATTTTAAAAAGATTTGTAAAAACGCCAAATAATGCTATTCTTTTCAATAAATTTATTTAAAAACTCATTTCTCATTGAAAATTTTATTTATGTCAATGTCACAGTTAATGTATTTTATCCTTATTTTAAATGAAGCAATAAATGAGTATGAGTGTAACAGTTTTAAAAATTTATCCCAGTTTTAATTTCTAATAAGGTAAATACTGGTAAACAAAACCAACATAAGTAAACATTGTGTGGGATCCTGAATTATCAGTGGAAAATTTACCTGAAACCAGTTTGAGGACCACTGATATCAATCGATTATCACTGAACCCTCAGGAAGAAGCAATGTCCCTTTGCTTGAGGACTGGCTGACCACAGTACAGAGATCTTGCATAGAGGGGGTGGATTTTAGTCTAAATAAGTGCAACTCAGCCCCTGTCTGCAGGCTGGTGCTGGGTCATAAGCTATTTCTGGTTCTTAAGTGAAGGGCAGAAATTAAGATTAAAACTTGAAAAACATTCATAACAATTTTACATTACCACAACAAGCAAACATATAATCAAGTGGGCTTATATTTTATATGTCTTTTTTTTAATTATTTAATTTTCCTAGTAGTTCATTTTTATTGTATTTTACAAAAGTAGTAGACTATGTCCTTCCCCACACATGCATTAAGAAGCACTGAACTTGATGTGTTATAATTGAATAGCAATTGAAGTGATCTTTAAATTATGTTATCAGCAGATACTATTTCTATGATTAATAACACTTGAGAACTTAACCTATTATCTACTGCTCCTAATATAAGTATCATAGTAAGGTCTTTTAAAACTGAACGCTATAGTGATTAAAAAAAAAAAAAAATCATACATACCCTCCTCATTGAAAAATTTTTCTACTGGTCCCACAAACTGATTAATTTCATTCAGTTCTTCTTGATTAACTTCTGGAAACGGGAAAACTTCTTTCTAAAAATGAAAAAAATGCAATGATATCTTTTTAGTAATCTCCCATCATGGTAATGTCAGTCAAAAGTGAAGGAGACTGATATCCTAGAGTCTACATCTGGTTAACAGGACACTAGACAATGAAAGAATTGGAAAGTATATCTCAGACAGCTTCACACACAGGAACTGGCACCTAGGTACATAGTCTCTCAAACAGGTTTATTACTGGTTTTGATCAGCTTTTCTTTTCAGTAACATGTTATGAGGATTGATCAATGAAACAAAAAACTCTGGACCAACATTAAAAAAATCTGATGTTCTGGTCCTTGATTTGCTGCGGTGCAGCCTTAGCCACCACCAGTCTGTCATACTGTGGTAGCTTGTGAGTTGCTGTGATTCTGGAAGCTATGTCACAGGTATTTTAAATATCAGCAGGGTCACCCATAGTGGACAGATTTCAGCTGAGCTTTCAACAATGAAATACTAGGAAGAAGGGGAGATGGACTACTTCCAAATATTTAGTCACTGAAAACCTTAAGAATAGGAGTGGAACACTGTCAGCACCAGAATATTGAATACTGATACATGATGATCACCAGAATATTGTCAGATACAGTGCCAGAAGATGAGCTCCTCAGGTTGGAAGTCACTCAGAATACAACAGGGGAAGAGCTACCCTAAGTAGAGTTGACTTTGATGACGCCAATGGTGTAAAGCCATCTGGGCCTTCGTTTAGTGCTGGAAGATGAGCTCCTCAGGTTGGAAGGCACTCAGAATAAGACTGGGAGAGAGCTGGCTTCTCAAAGTAGAGTTGATTTGTGATGATGCAAATGGAGTGAGGCCTTAGGGACCTTTATTTGTTGATGGGGCACAACTCAAGTGAAGATAAACAGCTGTAAACATTCATTAATACTCAGAACATGAACTGTATGAAGTAAGAATCTAGGAAAATTGGAAATTGTAAAAAATAAAATAGAATGCATAAACACTGATATCCTAGGCATTAGTGAGCTGAAATGAACACTGAAATTGGCCATTTTGAATCTGACAATCACATGGTTTACTATGCCAAGAATGACAAATTGAAGAGGAATGGTGTCACATTCATCATCAAAAAGAACATATCAAAATCTGTCTTGAAGTACAATGAAGTCTGTGACAGGATAATATCCATACACCTAAAAGGTAGGCCTATATGGCACTGTGGGATACAGCACTGGACCACAAGATTGTTTTGAATAAGGTTGGCAGTTCAAACTCACCAGCCACTCCATGGAAACCCTATACTGGGTCACTATGAGTTGGAACCCACTCGGTACTTAACAATAAGGTAGACCAGTTAGTACCACTATTAGTCAAATTTAAGCACCAACCACTAAAGTCAGAGATGATGAAATTGCAGAAGTCTACCAACTTCTTCAGTATGAAATTGATCAAACATGCAATCAAAATGTGTAGACAATTACTGGTGAGTGGTATGAAAAGGTTGGAAACAAAAAGGAAGGATCAGTGATTGGAAAATATGGCCTTGGTGATACAAATGATGCTAGAGATCACAAGATAGAGTTTTGTTATGACCAATGACTTCTTCATTGCAAATATCTCATTTAAACAACATAAGAGATGATTATATACATGGACCTCACCAGGATGGCATACACAGAAATAAAACTGACTATATCTGTGGAAAGAGATGGTGGAAAAACTCCATACCATCAGCCAAAACAAGGCCAGGGGCAGACTGTGGAACAGACCATCAATTGCTCATATGCAAGTTCAAGCTGAAGCTGAAAAACATCAAAACAAGTCAATGAAAGCCAAAACATGACCTTGAATATTGTTGTTGTTAAGTGCCGTGCAGCTGGTTCCAACTCATAGCAACCCTGTATAGGGTTTCCTAGGAGCGATTGGTGAGCTTGAACCACCAACTTTGCAGTTCAAACCAACCTTGAAGTCCAGCACATTAACCCACAGTTCCACACCAGGACCTTGAACATATCCCATCTAAATTTAGAGATCTGAAGAACAGATATGATGCATTACACACTGAAGTCCAAAAGCCAGAAGAGTTGAGGGATGACATCAAGAATATCATACATGAAGTAAAAAGTCATTAAGAAGACAAGAAGGAAGAAAAAGACCAAAATGGATGTCAGTAGAGACTCAGAAACTTGCTCTTCAGCACAGAGATGCTAAGGCAAATGGAAGAAATGAAGAGGTAAATGAACCAAACAGAAAATTTCAAAGAGCATCTTGGGAAGACAAGGTCAAATATTATAATGAAATGTGCAGAGACCCCGAGTTAGAACACCAAAAGGGATGAACAGGCTCAGCATTTCTCAAGCTAAGGAAACTGAAGAAAAAGTCAAGCCTTGACTTGCGGTACTATTGGATTCTACAATGAATGATGCAGAAAGCATTAAAAGATGGAAGGAATACAGAGTCACTGTACCAAAATGAAGTAGTCAATATTCAACCATTTCAAGAGGTAGCATACAATCAAAAGCCAATGATACTGGAGGAAGAAATCTAATGTGCACTGAAGGCATTGGCAAAGAACAAGGCACTGGGAATTGATGGAATATAAACTGAAATCATTCAAAAACTGATGCAGCACTGGAAGCACTCATTCATCTACGCCAAGACGTTTAGAAGACAGCTACCTGGCCAGCTGATTGGAAGAGATCAATTCTTGTGCCCATTTCAAAGGCAAGTGACCCAATGGAATGTGGAAATCATCTAACACTATCATTAACATCACATGCAAGTAAAGTTTTGCTAAAGATAATACACAAATGGCTGCAACCATACACTGACAGAGAACTTCCAGATGTTCAAGCCAGATTCAGAAGAGGATGTGGAAGGAGGGATTATCACTATTGATGTCAGATGGATCTTGGGTGAAAGCAGAGAATACTAGAAAGATGTTTACCTGTGCTTTATTGACTACACAAAGGCTTTCAATTGTGTGGATCACGACAAGCTATGGGCAATATTGAGAATTAAAAAACACTTACTTGTGCTCATGAGGAATCTGTATATAGACCAAGAGGCAGTTGTTCAAACAGAACAAGGGAACACTGGATGATTTAGAATTAGGAAAGGTGTGCACCAGGGTTGTATTCTTTCACCATATTTATGCAATCTGTATGCTGAGCAAATAATCCAAAAAGCTGGATTATATGAAGAAAAACATGGCATCAGGGTTGGAGGAAGACTCATTAGCAACCTGGGATATGCAATGATAACATCGTGAAGAGGACTTAAAATACTTACTGATAAAAATCAAAGACCACAGCCTTCAGTATGGGTTGCACCTCAATGTAAAGATAACAAAAATCCTCACCACTGGACCAGTAAACAACATCCATATAACTGCAGAAAAGGTTGAAGTTGTCAAAGACGCCATTTTCCTTGGATCAACCATCAACACTCACAGGAAACAGCAGTCAAAAACTCAAATGACGTACTGCATTAGGCCAATCTGCTGCACAAGACCTCCTGAAAGTGTTCAGGAACAAATTTACCAGTTTGAGGACTATGATACGCCTGACCCAAGCCATGGTATTTTCAATAACCTTGTATGCATTTAAAAGCTGAACAGTGAATAAGGAAGACCATATAAGAATTGATGCATTTGAGTTATGGTGTTGGAGGAGAATATTAAAAGTACCAAGAACTGCCAAAAGAACAAACCAACCATCTGTGCTGGAAGAAGGCACCACAATGCTCCTTGGAAGTCAAGATGGCCAGACTTTGTCTCTCATATTTTGGACATTATCAAGAGAAAACTGTCCCTGGAGAAGGATATTATGTTGGTAAAGTGAAAGGTCGGAGAAGTAGAGGAGGATCACCAACGAGATGGACTGGCACAGTGGCAGCAGCCATGGGCTCAAATGTAGTTTGTGAGGTTGGCGCAGGACCGGGCAGTGTTTCGTCTGTTGTGCACTGGGTCGCTATGAGTCAGTACCGACTCGATGGAACCGAACAACAACAAGCCTTAGCCAAATGGACTCCTGGTAACTGGCACTGTAGGAGAAGCACTGGACGGCTAACCACGAAGTTGGCAGTTAAAACCCACCAACTGCTCCTTGGAAACTCTTTACAGGGTAAGTATGAGTCGGAACCGACTCCAAGGCACTTAATAACAACAAGCCTTAGCCAATTCTTCCACCACTCCAAACTTCCATTTTCTCAGACACAATATGCAGGTTGTTGAGAGGGTTATGGAAGAAAATAGATATGAAAGCACTTTACTAAACTGTAAAAGATCTATATAAATTTTGTGAGTTCCAAGATGCTGCCATTGACAAGAGCAGTGTGGTTAGAAAGTCTGATATGGAGGAGGCCTCCCACCAGACTGCAAACTCCAGCCTCTCCCTGCCTACTCCCTGGTGTTTTCTCCTGTGCCAAACATTTGGGGTAGCACAATCACACTCAGCTGTGAAGCCAGAGCAGTAGGAACTCAGTTCTGGCTCTGCCACTTCTTAGATGTCTGACTTGGGTAAATTACACAATTGTTCTCAGTGTCAGTTTCTGTTCTGTTACCAGAAGGTAGCTCTGAGGCTCAAAAGGTACCATGTGACCTGGGACATAAAGCAGTTACAACTATTTGTATCACATACTAGTTGTTCTTGTACCTCATGGTCTGGACAATTACTTCACTTCAAGTCTATGTCAACTGGTGAGTGGTCAATGTTTCCAACTACCCTGGTATTCTCCACTAGACTATCACTGAACATTGCTTAAAATTTGTCTACTATATTCACGGCTCATTGACTTTCTGTGCTCCAGGTACCCCTTCAGCTGTCAGCATAAGATAACTATTTGAGAAAGTATATCCCTGGTCAAAAGCTGCCAGCTCCAAGAAACCATGAGTCTCTTCATGGCACCTCTCACCAAGTGTCTCAAGAAAGAGCTCTAACTAACTACATCCTTCCAAACCTGTTTTCTCCTCTCTGGTAGTCTACAAAGTAAAGATGTTGAGGTTTCTCATCACAGCAGCTCCTCAGAATAAAACTCAATCTCCCTAGCTTAATACACAGAAGTTTAACCTCTCCCCACCACAGTCTCCTTCACAGACTTACTGGCTCACTCCAGAACCTTCAACAACAGGCTGTGTTATAGGAAGATTATTCTGATACCAAAGAGTATACCAGATATCAAAAGAGAAACAACCCTCAGTCCCATCCAAAGGAAACCTTCTACAGGGAGAGAACCCGAGTGCCTGTAAGAAAGATCACAATGTTTAAAAAGTGAACAGGCTCCTTTATAGGTGTTCTGTTCAATGTCTACCAGCAGTTTCCAAGTTTGTTTTGTTGTGTTTTAGCAATTTCCAAATTTGTTAAAGCATGCAACCTATTTTGTACATAAATCTAGTGCAGAAACCAATAAAGTCAATTTCATTATTTGTAGATTCTGCTTTTGCAAATTCTCCTCTTGCTAAAATCTATGTAATACTTGCTGCACTTTCATGGTTATTCGCAGGCACATGCCTGATGTACATGTTCCCAGCTGAGGTGGAACAAGGTGACTCTCTCCCTTCTTGTTTCAGTTATACTACAAACAAATGTACTTTTCAGTCTGTTTATGCCACACTTTATGCATTTTGCTGATGGTTTTGCTCGTTAGAGAACCCAGCAAAATGTTGAAGTGCACAGGAGAAAATACGTGTGTTAGATAAGATTCATTCAGTGGTGAGTTACAATGCAATCGGCCATGAGTTCAATGTTAAGAAATCAGTAACAGAAAGGATGTTAAAACAGAAACACAAGAAACAAGACTATTCATTCATGGGTTGATGAAAATGTCACCAGAGGCTTGTAGGAACCTAAGAGTTCAGGATGTGCACATACAGAGACCTTAAAGAACCTAACTACCACGAAATGGTGCTCTGAGAGAGTAGTAGTTATGAGTCAGGCTGCTCACCTCAGGGTCAGCAGTTCAAAACTACCAGCCGCTCTGTGGGAGACACATGAGGCTTTCTGCTCCCATAAAGATTTACAGACTCAGAAACCTTCTACAAGGTTGATATGAGTCAGGACCGACTCCACGGCATACTACCACCACCACCACGAATAACAATAAGCAACTGTATATAAAACTGTCCCACCCACTCGACTTCCCTGTGGTCCCTGATGTTGTTGTGTGCCATTGAGTCGACTCCGACTCATAGCAACCCTTTCTATGGTTTCCAAGGAGTAGCTGGTGAGCTTGAACCACAGACCTTGCAGTTCAAATGACTTTGTAGTCTGATGCATTAACTCACAGTGCCATACCAGGACCCCTAAAAGCCTCATAGGAATCGGCTTTGGGTTGATAGGGAGTTGCATTCTCTTCCTCCCCTCTTTGTGAAGTCAGACACTCTCCCCCACCCCTTTTTATGGGTAGGAGGCTTGCTGGTGGAGTGGGGTGCCTCTGGGCACTTATCAGCATAACTAAAGGAGTTTTGTAACACTTGCCCAAGCAGAGCAGAGGCCAGGCCAAGAGGCTGTAATAATCAAAGAATTCTATATCCTGAGTATTCCTGAACCTAAATTCCAACCTGTTATTTCGCTAATAAAACCCACAACTGAATCTGTTATGTTTTGCGTGGCCACTGCAATACATCATCCAACCCAGCACCGAAGGCAGGCAGGATGCTTGACATATCATAACTGGACTGGAGGGTGGAAGCATGTCTGCCCTCCACCACATGGGAATCAGATGTTGATAGGAGACAAGGACTTTCCCCAAAAGCATTCTCCTAGGGTTCATGCCTTAGATTTGGACTTCCAGCCTCCCAAACTGAGAGAATAAACTTCCGCTTGTCAAGGCCAGCCACTTGTGGTTTTTCTGTCACAGCAGCACGGGATAACTAAGACAGACCTTTACAACACATCTGTGGGGTAGATGCATGGTAAGGTCGAGGGAACTAAGACTCAAAGTCAATGGGTCAAAGTCATATCCAAGTCTCCCAGCTACAAGAACGGGCAGGACTGTGTAAGGCGTGTACCGGGTGGGTGGGGAGGGAAAGTTGGATCCAGACTTCTGAGGAACCTGAATGGCAAGTTCAGGTTCTGGGGTTCAGCTGTGGAAGCCCAGAAGCCGTTGCCAGCCAGTGGCAGGCAGGGTCTGAGTTGTGTTTAGGAAGCAGAGAGGAAGCCCCCACAGCCAGAACTGTCGAGGTGACGGTTGCTCAGCGATCACTTAGCCTTGTTGTTGTTGTCAAGGGCCGTGGAGTCGTTTCCGACTCGATCCTGGTGGGTTTGAACAGCTGACCTTGCAGTTAGCAGTCAAGTGCTTTATCCTAGAGCGCCACATGAGGAGTCCTTAGCCTTGTTGTTCTTACGAGCTATCAAGTCGGTTCCGACTCATAGCGACCCTGTCTGTATAGGGTTTCCAAGGAACAGCTAGTGAGCTTGAACCGACGACCTTGCGGTTCCAACCAAGCTTGCGGTCCAGCGCGCTAATCCGCAGCGCCACACAAATAATTAGCTGGGTACATGTCAAATCCTAGCTTCTCAGGACTCTCTTCACCTGCCCTGAAAAGGCAGGTGAACTCGCAAATTAGAAGTTTTAGAACACTCCATACCCAGGTGGTTTTTGTCAGGCAGGTCTGGGTGCTCGACCCCAGGTCTTGCCTGCTAAGAGCGAAAAGCGCGAGCCAGAGAGCAAAGGTCCGCGTTACCTTCTCGATTGTGCCCAGGAAGAGCTCCTTGGCGAAAGTTCAGGTCGGCGGGCTGGTGCGCAGCGAGCGCTGACTCTCGGTAAACGCAGCCCGAGCCCGACCGGCACGAGCCGCCGCCACCGCCGCGCGCAGTAACAATCCAGAGCAGCTCATGCTGCTTCGAGTCAGTCGCTCAGTCCGTAGTTCAAATCCTCCTCCTCTGGGCCTCAGTCTAAAGTACGCCCGATTCGCGTCTCTTGATGACGTCACGAACTAGTGGTGCTTTCTTCCGCAGCCAGTGCGCATGCACCACTTGCCGCCGACCGGGAACGGGAGGCCACAGTGGGCGGGGCCGCAAACAAGTAGTCAGGTTCTTTCTTTTCAAAAGTTAGTATAACGCCAGCCCTAGGAGTTTTCGCAGGTACTCCGGAGCTTAAGGAGCCGCCCAGCTGCCCTCCCTGAAGGGCGGCAACCAGGACAAAGTAAAATTAAAACAAAGGAATGGGGAGAAAAAAAATCACAAAATTGTTTATGTCTGAGGGGCGCTCACAATACAGGCAATAATGTATTTTTTAAGTAAGTGATGGATTGTTGTGCTTCATAACTTGCATGCAGTCACATATTATTTGAGGACCCGAGATCTGCCAGAAATGGCTGTCCTGAGTGTTCCTGAACCTGAATTGTGTGGCGCCATAGGATAAGCACTCTACTTCAAGGTCGGTTTGAACCGCAAGGTCGGTGGTTCAAACTCACCAGTCGCTCCTCGGAAACTATGCGGTGTCGCTATGAGTCGGAACCAATTCGATGGCACTTAACAACAACTTCCCTAGTAAACCTCCTAATTCTTTACTCAAATCTAATGAAAATAAAAAATGGTTACACTCTAATAAGACTTCCATATTACACAACCTGAAGACAAAAAGTACAGCTATAAAATAATTGTTAAGTGCCGTTAACTCGGTCCCAACACATAGTGACCTTGTATAGGATTACCAAGGAGCAGCTGGTGATTTTGACCAACGCATTGTGACCTTGTATAGGATTTCCAAGGAGCAGCTGGTGATTTTGAAAGGCCGACCTTGTTCGAATTGACCTTGAAGTGTTTTATCCCATAGCTCCACACCGGGACTCCATAAAGTCATAGAAACCTTAAATAAAGTTTTCTATGAGATGAGCAATAAAACTAAGAATTCTGGACAAATGCCTTCACCTGTAACTTTATTTTCTATGACCCAGAAGTCATGTGGTGGCAGAGGCAGCTAGTTGTTGTTATCAGGTGCCATCAAGTCTTTCAACTCAACACCATGGACAGCCAAATGAAATACTGCCTCCACAGTATCAATCCATCTCATTGGGGGTCTTCCTTCCTTTTGATGACTCTCTCAGAGCTATTTCGGATGCAAAATCTTTGTGTGGTTAGACGCCACAGAATGCATTCAACTCATAGTGGTAGCGTAGTGGTTACGAATTGGGCTGTGAACCGCAAGGTCAGCAGTTCGAAACTACCAGCGGTTCCACGGGAGAAAGATGAGGCGTTCTGCTCCCGTAAAGATTTACAGCCCCGGAAACCCTGTGCAGGGTCACTATGAGTCGGAACCGACTCCACGGCACTTAACAACAACAACAACAACAACATAGTGACCCTATGCACAGCAGAATGAAACACTGGCCAGTCCTGCACCATCCACACAATTATTATGTTTGAGCCCATTGGTGCAGCACTGTATATCTTGTTTGGAATCTTCCTCTTTTTTGCTGACCCTCCGCTTTTTCAAGCATAACTTTCTCTAGGGACTGGTCTCTCCTGATCATATGTCCAAAGTATGACAAAGTCTCATCATCCCTGCTTCTAAACAGTGTTCTAATTCTACTTCTTCCAAAACAGGTTTGCTTCTTCATGGTGCTTTCAATATTCTTCATCAATACCATCATTAATATAGATGATTATTCTACGATCTTCCTTATTCATTGCCCAACTTTCACATGCATACAAGGCAATTAAAAATACCATAGTTTAGGTCAGGCACACCTCAGTCCTCAAAGTGACTTTTTTGCTCTTTAACATTTTTAGAAGGGTTGTTTTTTTTTTTTTGCAGCAGATTTGCCTAATGCAATAAGTGATTTGATTTCTTTTCACTTTTTTTTGTGAATTGAGTTTTACATTCAACAAGTCATGCAGTTTGTTCATCTCAATGATTACAGTCCCCTTTGTAGAGGCGTAACTCTACACTAATGGCTCTGTGGGTTAATGCACTGGATTGCAAAGTCAGTTTGAACTGTAAGGTTGGTGGTTCAAGCTCACCAGCCACTCCTTGGAAACCTTATACAGGGTTGCTATGGGTCAGAACCAACTCAACGGCACATAACAATAACAACAATGATGTCAACCCAGGAGAAGTCACTTCTATCACTTTTCTCTCCTTTCACCCTCCCCTCCAGCATATATCCCTGGCTTTGCATACCAGAGTTCTGTGTTCCCATAAACTGGCCACTTATCCACTGAAGATTAGTAAGCAACTGGAGCCAGGGTGTTTTTCTGGTTTTCCTCCAGTCTCAGCTGGAGAAAAGACTCTCCTCATATAGCCCCCTCCTTCTCTGAGGTTTGTTCACCATCTAGTATAAAAAGAGACCCGACTCTTGTGATACAATAGTGAATAATTGCTATCTGGACTGCTTGTGAGGGTTGGAAATGTAAAGGTAGACATTTTGTAGCAAGGAGGGGAGTGATTAACTTTGCAGTTCAGGAGCGGAGGTTCCTGGGACCATCAAGGGAGAAGAGCAGAGAGCGGGACCCTACCCAGAGAAGCAGTGATGCCTGAGATGGAGGCAGAGACGATGACGTGGAAGATGGAGCAGCTGGGGACTTTAGACACAGAAAGGGAGAGGGGCTGTGTGCTGACGACTAGGGAGGCAGGCTTGTAGTGTATACCCTTTGGTTGGTTGATGATGCATGGAGGGGATTGTAACCATGGCAGTGAAATGATATATGATAGGATGAATGTAAAACTAATGTTCTCCCATGTAAACTATCACATAATTCACAATAAAATATTTAAGAAAGAGAGAGAGAGACCAGAATTGATGCTTTTGAGTTATATATGGTGTTAGAGGAGAATATTGAAAGTGCCACAGGCTTCCAAAAACACAATCGTTCCATTTTGGAAGAAGTGCAGCTAGAGTGTTCTTTGAAGGCCAGGATGGCCAAACTTTGTCTGTCATACTTCGGACATATTGTCTGGAGGGACTAGTCGCTGGAGAAGGCCATCATGTTTGGTAAGGTGGAGGGTCAGAGAAAAAGAGGAAGACCCCCAACGAGAGGGATTGGCCAAGTGGCACATCGATGGATTCAAGCATGGCAACAGTAGTGAGGTTGGCCCAGGATCCGGCAGTGTTTCGTTCTGCTGTGCATAAGGTTGCTATGAGTCGGTACCGACTCGATGGCACCTAACAACAACAACATGTCCCCTCTGATGTGGAAAATCTTGACTATTCAGGGGCCACTACTGGAAACAGTGCTGTCTTATCGAAGTCAGTAACTTTCCCTGTCGGTGCACTGTTTCTGTTTTTCTGCTGGTGGAGTTAGCCACCTGATATCGACATAATGGGAAGGTGTTGTCGTAGCTTGGCTCCTCCACTTGTAGAATATGGGGGCATAGGACACAGAGCTCATGGGACTTAAATATCTAAAGAGGTCTCTGTAATTACACACCCCTATGCTACAGTGAATGAAGCTCAGGGAGGATTTCTTTCCATTTGGATTATAGCTGCTTATAAGGTTGTCTGGCCAATTTAGGGGAAATTGGCCTCTCCTCGACAATGAACAGTTGTAGAGGAATTGCATGAAACGATTAGAGGCTGGGAATGAAGCATGCTGTGTGTGCAGAACATTATTGGGGGTTGGACAGTGAATTGCTCACAGTCAGCATGAAAGATGATACAGATCACTGGTGTCTATATTAAGCCTCATGTTGAGACAGCCAGTGTCCCAGGCTGCTCAGGCTGTAGCGGACCTGGGCAGAGAAACTGCCGAGACAACGCAGGAGGCTGCCGAGCCAGCAAATAAAAACAAGCAATAAGAAAGACCTAGTTGGAATTACTAGGAAGCAGTTGTGGATTGCTTTGCTTTCTTCTGGCGCTCCCCTCTTCAACCCCATCCCCACCCCACCCCCAGATGAAAGTGACAGGCAGCCACATGCGGTGCTACTGCTATGAAGTTCTGGCAAAAGTCTCCCCAACCCAACAACAGCCCATTATTCCTAGTGCATCATTGCATGGACAATACCTGCCCCTTAATTAGGAGTGTGGCCAGGGTTCCCCCTTGCTTAGAATACGGAGACTTTCGGGGACCGGAGGCCACACATAGAACTAACCATCTACTAGTCATTAGTAGATACCAGAACAAAGTGCACCTTGATTCATGGGTTAGTTGGCCAGGACCTAGAAAAGTAGGCCAAACCTCCATGTGTGACTCTTTGTCTTTGCTTCAACAAGTAGCATTGCAGATGGTGTCACACGTGACTTCCAGAGGATGGCCCTGGATTTCTGTCAAATTCTTGGGTTCTGTGTGGGCGAGTACGATAAAGGTGATTCCAAAGACTGGAATTGACCAAATTAAGCATACCCCTGCCCTACTAAAGTAAAGGAGTTTCTGGGGGTGCCTGGAGTATTGTTGTTAGGTACCATTGAGTCAGTTCCAAGCCATAGCAACCCTGTATAGGGTTTCTGAGGAGTAGCTGGTGAACTTGAACCGCCAACTTTGTGGTTCAAACCAACTTTACAGTCCAGCGCACTAACCCACAGTGCCACCCTTTATTCCCCATCTAGCACAAATTTTGTACCACTTGTGTTGTTAAGTAAAGGAAGTATTTGAGACTAGACCCTCCAAGTTGGAGCAGTCCTTTAATGAGTCTGAAATAGCAGTAAAGCAGGCTGTTGGGACTATAGCTGTAGGGCAAGAGTGTGAATTGGATGTCCCCAACTACCTGGCGGGGTATGGTTGGGGCCTCTGGGAATGGCAACAGGGTGATGTATTCCCTTAGGATTTTGGTTTCATCTATAGAAAGGTGCAGAAACCAGATACTGCCCTTTAGAAAAGAAATTATGTGCAGTGTGTAACAGCTTACAGAACATGTAGAAGACAT